AAAAGTTTTGTTTTCTTTTTTCCGAGTAAGCACATCTTAATAAAAAATTTTAAATTTATACGCCATTCAGAGTTTAAAAAGAAGTAATATTTAAGTAAAATTAAAATGCAAGCAATATAAGATGTGCGCTTGACTCTACAAAAATGTTTAATATCACAGATATTGGATAAATAAGCCATCAAAACAACCATCTTTTGAAACAATACTTACCATAGCACCTTTGATAGTGAAACAAAAATAATATTTTTTTTAAGAATAATGGATCATTAACGTTAATATGTAGATTTTTTAAACATTTTGGAACTAATATTTTATCTTCATAAAGTAATGAAAATTGTTTACAATTTTTTTTTTAACATTTCATCAACATAACTACAATACTTTCATTTCTTCGGTGGGATCTATATATAAATATCCCCTTTAAATTTGTAACTCAGCAAATATTATTAAAATTTAAATAGGACAAATAATTCCTTCTCATTTTTAAGCAAAGTATATATTTTTGTATCTTAAAATCGGAGATGAATTTTTGATTAGGTCAGAGAGGCATTGCAATGCGACCGCCTGCACAATTCGAATTTCGGAATGAAAATCAAATATTTATAAGTAAAGCGGGAAAATGAAGCGTTATCAATATATAGTAGGCTCTAAAAAGAGACCTTTATTTAAATTTTAAAAAAAATTCAAAGGATTAAAATAAAATCGAGAAAATTATCATCAATGCAACCAACGATTTGCTTACAAACATTGCTATAAGCGACTGTGAGGAGACAATGCGTGATTGGTTAGCTTGGCGGAGGAAAAAATAATTCGACGATTTCACTAGATGAGAGTACGAAAGCATACAGAAAAAGAGTGCGTCATAAAATCGATTGTTATTAAATTATGACCAAATAATATTTGGAGAACTTTATAAAATTAAAAATACTAGAACATTCTGAATCGTTTTGTCAAAAGAAAAAATTGCCCCCAAAGTATCGGAACGAACTTGAACGATAAATGAGTTTGGCCCACGGACTAACTTTTTAGTACTCCAAAGCAGTTAAAAATCCCTAACATCATTTTCATTACACTCTTTTCCCTCATCTGTTTTCCCTATTGCTGAAGAACAAAATTATTATCTTATCTTTAACTACCACACCTGCTCGACCCCACCCTTTTTTCCATTTTGACAGTTTGGATGAATTTCACCCAACGTCATTTCATCCAAAATGTCAAAATGGAAAAAAGGGTGGGGTCGAGCAGGTGTGGTAGTTATAAGAAAATAATTTTGTTCTTCAGCAATAGGGAAAACAGATGAGGGAAAAGAGTGTATTGAAAATGATGTTAGGGATTTTTAACTGCTTTGGAGTACTAAAAAGTGTGATGTAAAGGAGTATCAATTAAGGAACTGTTTATTTATTTTCTGTTTCACGTGCTTGATAACGTATTCAACGTAACAAAAGCGAAATAACTAGCAATATTATTTTACGGAAATTCATTCACAATTTTTATTTCTGATGTTTCTTTTTTTCTTTTCTTTTCTTTTTAATGAATCTTTACAATATTTTTAAAACTTTTTTCCTTCACTTATAAACATTGCGGGATTCTCAAGTGGAAACATAATACTAGAAGTTTATATTGCTTTGATAACAATAATATATTTTACAATAATAACATAAAAATGTTTTTGTCTGAATTAATTATAGTTAAAAAATAAATAAATGCATTGATATTTAGTATGAAAATATGTAGAATTTTTATTTATTTAATTTTTGTGCATTAAAATAAATACAAAAAAAATAAATAAAAATAAATAAATAAAACAAATGAGCTCGAACATCATTTACTATTTCAAAAATAGTTTATTTTTCATTTTTCTGCATACTTTAATACATTATTTTTCTGTACAAAATTATATTTTAACAATTTATAATAACACAATAGTTGAAATGGTGTATTGTATACTAAATAAAAAAATTTATTTTTATTTTTTTTGAAAGTGATGATTTTTTAAAACTTTTATAATAATAAAATTTTTCTTAAAATTGCAAAAATTTTAATAATAGAATTTGAAAGTTTAATATGATCTAATATTAAAATTATGCGAATCAGCAATAATTATTTCATGCTTTAGCCATTGATTTCTTAAATACTGTAAAATCAAAGTAATTAAGAGGATTTCGAGCATTTATTTTAAGAAAATTGACTTTACAAAACGTTTTCTTAAATTATTATAATTACATTTCACATATCGTCTGGGCTAACTG